CCTGCCTTGCAAGCACAAGGACTCAAGTTCAATCCCCGGTACAAAAAAAAAAAAGTTGAAGCCCAGCCTGGGCAATTTAGTAACTCTGCAAGACTCTGTGTCGGGGAAAAAAAAAAAAAAAGTAAAAAAGGACTGGGAATGTAGCTCAGTGAAGGCCTTGGGTTCAATCCTTAGTGCAGCTGAAAAAAGAAGTTATCATATGATATACATGAATGGTCCCCCAAAGTGAATGTTATATATCTATTATGTATCGCAAACATATACCAAAAAAAAAAGTCTGACCTGTGTTGGGATGCTTTGAATTTAGATTATAGGCATAATTCTTTCAAATATTTCTGAAAAATTTCCCAGAACTATACAGTATTCACAGGAGTCTTGCTAAAACCCAAGGATAAAAATAATTTTAAATGATTGCTCTGATTCTATGTACAATTTAAAGGAGGTAAAACTTTTTAAATTGAACTATATAATTAAATATTCATCTAAAACAATCTTCCTCTCTAAACCTCTATCTAGCACAAAATACCTCTCTAAACTTTTGATATCAACTTAAAATGTGTGAGCTGGCATGATCCGGAGCTTTCTAGATCTCCAGCAGGCACAGGAACTGCAGACTGGACTACCCTGACTTGGAGGCAGCCCAGCCGGAGAGGCCAGAGGCATCCCAGCATGCAATGGAGCTTGTGGGAACAGTGGCATCTCGAGCTCCACCCACACCCCCTGAGTCAGAATCTGCAACTTTTAAAAATTCCCAGGGGAATCCTACACAGCAGAAATCTGAGAAGGGCTGCCAGTTCATCGTGGCTTCAAGCTAAGTACTTCTAAGTACTCCCTAAGTCTTGGTTTCCCTGTTGGAAAAGGAGGATTCATGTGTCTCCCTCCGTGGGTTTATAAAGCACTTGGCCGCAGCAGGAGCCCAGGAAACAATAGCTATTATTATTTAATGAACTCCGGGCTCTGTGCCAGTTGCCCAGATGGCCCCTGGCTGGCAATTCGCAGACACCCTTATTTGCCAAGGCAGGCAAACAAAGCCCTCTCCTATCCCCAGCCAGCATGAGATGGCGGGGATTGAGGGGCACAGTTCTGACTGGGGTGTCCCCCGGCTCTGGCTGCCCTTCCAGCTGGGACTCCCACAGCTGGCTTTTCCCTTTGCCAGGTTGCCTCTCCAACCCGAACAAGGGTGTGAGGCCCCAGCACTGTTCTAAACCATAATCTCATTTCTTAGCATCAAAGCACATAAAAAACACAAATAATTCCTTTTAATTTTTTTATAAAAAATAAAAAATCTGAGGGTTTTTTGTATTACAGTACAGAAGCATTTCTGCAAAGATAGTGAGTGACTCGCCTTTATTTTCAGGGGCCCTTCTTTGAGCATGCCTCTGTGACACTCACACAAATTCAGTAAGACAAACCAATTTTTAAAATCACTCTGTGCCTAGCTGTCAGCCTGAGACACAGAGGCAGCCAGGTTTTGTCCTCATTTTCTTAGAAATCATTAATCAAAAGCCATTCTTAAGTCCAGCAGACTCTGCACTTTTCCTGTACAAAGGCTGCAATCTATTTTCTGCCAACTTGCCACTGATTGACAGAGTCACAAAGAAATGTTTAAAAGTGTCTGCACTTATATTTAACTGACTCAAGAGTTTGAAAACACCACCTGTTGGACTCTGACCCATGAGGCCAGCCCGGGATGGGGAGGGCTCAGTGCATGAATATTTGTCCAGAAAGTACCTTCAAGGTCTCCTGAAAGGTTGGGTCCAGTGTGTTCTTCTGCACTCCAGTCTTGCGCTTCCCTTGGGAGGACCTGTCAGGCAGCAGGTAGGTCTTTACATACCTGTGGCCAAATACAGGACAAAGTGAAAGCTCAGCCGGGCACTGACAAAGAATCCCCAAAAGTAAAACCCACACATCAGCATTTTCCTTTAATTTTTTATTTTTTTGGCTTTTTGAGACAGGATCTCACTATGTAGTTGAGACTGACCTGGAACTCACCATGTAGCCCAGGCTGGTCTCAAACTCACAGCGATCCCCCTGTCTCAGCCTACCGAGTGCTAGGATTACAGGTATGTGCTACCATGCCTGGTTAAGCATTTTCTTTACACTATGTCCTTGTGGATTTTGAGTTGATAGAAAAGGCTCAGTGACCAAGACTGACACGGGCAATATGAGCGAATCAGTGACTTTGGCCAGTGTTGGTGGTCTGATGCCCCTGGAATATTCCTGGGAGTAGAGGGAAGCTCTCCCTGCCTTGCTCATGCCCTATTCCTGGAATTCTGTGTTCTTTCCTCCCCTGCCACTTTCGGAACACCATGGATTCTGATTCTTCAGCCTGAACAATGGGGTGATGCCCCAGCTTCCCTGCTTCTACCGCCACCTGTCACTGCCCTCTAACCCCACAAGAATACAGAGGAAATGGAAAGCTCAGGGTGCACACTCTGCTTTTTCCTTAAGCTTCAAAGACTGCACTCCTCTGTACTGAGGGTCCTGTTTTTGAACTTCTGTATAAACAAAACTGCTCACATGTAGACTTCTGTAACTTGTCTTTGTCCACTCGATGCACGAGACTCATTTATATCACTGTGTAGTGACAGCTCATCCATTTATATTCCTTCGTATGACTCCATCGTAGGAGCCTCCTATGAGTCACTTACCTTCCTAAGGAACCTTTGTCTTATGTCTTAGGCTTTGCTATTATAAACAATTCTGGGCTGGGGATTTAGCTCAGTGGTTCTGGCACCTGCTTTGCAAGCACAGGGACCCGAGTTCAATTCCTGGTACCAAAAAAAAAAAAATTCTGCTATGACCATTATACTTGTTCCTGGTGCTCCTATGCAAGAATTTCTAGGCACAAAGTCAAGAATGACAGGATATGCACCTTTTTCTTTGTATGGGTGGGGGTGGGTAGGGGTGTACAGGGGATTGAGCTCAGAGCCTAGTGCATAGTAGGCAAGTTCTTTATCTTTGAGCTATCCCCACAGCCAGTAGGTACATCTTCAACTCTGCCAGATCATGCTAATTCAATCTCTTTAAAAGATACAGGACTACTCATGTTTTCTATTCCATCTCAGGTCAAGCTTTGGGAATTTGTGTTTTATAAGATATATGTCTGTTTCATCTTAGTTATTACATTATTTTCACAAAGGTTTACATAATGACCTATTATTCCTTAATGTTGGTAAGTTCTCTCACAATGCCCCCCCACCCGGTACTGGGGATCGAACTTAGGACCTTGCGCTTGCCAGGCAGGCGAGGCACCACTCAGTTACATCCCTGGCCTTCTTCTTTCACTTTTGATATTAGCATTTATGTGTTTTATCTTGATGAAATTAGCTATGAGTTTATTACTGATCTTTTCAAATTTGGGTTCATCGGTTTTTCTCTATTGCTTCTTATCTCACTTATTTGTGAGTTATCTCTACTATTTCCATCCTTTTGTAGAAATAATTTGCTCTTCTTTTCCAAGAATTTCAAGGTGGGGGCTGGTTTAAATGGTTTGTGTTTAATCTTTCTTTTCTTTGGTTGTTTTTTATTTTATTTATTTTTTTTTTTTTCGGTTTTTGAGTCAGGGTCTCACTATGTAGTTGAGACTGACCTGGAACTCACTATGTAGCCCAGGCTGGTCTCGAACTCACAGGAATCCTCCTGCCTCAGCCTCCCTAGTGCTGGGATTGCAGGGGTGCGCCACTATGCCCGGCTTAATCTTTCTTCTCTTTAAGTATGAGCACTGCTTTAACTGCACCCCTCCAATTCTGAGATATAAAAGGAGTCATTTCTGGGGCCAGGGATTTTAGCTCAGTGGTGCCATCAAATGCAAGGTCCAGAGTTCAATACCTGGTACCCCCCCCAAAAAAAAGAGTTTTCCATGTAGCAAAAAAAGGCAAAAATAAGGTTTTTGCATTAGGCCTTACACAGAAACTCAATTACAATTCTAATGGGAGAGTCAAAATTTTAAAAAATATATTAGAAGAAAATACAGAAGAATATATTTATAACCTTCAGGTGGCATGGGCATTCTACACATACAAAAAGCAGATTTTTTGGTTTGGTTTGTTTCTGTTTGTTTGGTTTTGGTTTTGGTTTTGGTGCTGGGGGTTGATATCAGGAACTTGTGCATGCTAAGCATGTGATCTACCACCGAGCTACACCCCTAGCCCAAAGAGCAGAGATTGTAAAGAAGATACTCATATATTTGATATTATCAAATTCTCTACAAATAAAGCCATTGGAAATAAGTTAGGAAATAGGGAGTAGCTGGGTAAGATACAAAACAATCAGTGAAGAACTTTGAAAAACCTAAAATAGATTTTAAATATAATCCCAGCTGAGATATGAGGACCATTGTGAGTTAAAGCCAGCCTGAACTATGTAGTAAGACCCTGTTTAAGCAAAACAAAACAATGACAATAACAAGAAAATAGATTTTAAAAGACGTGTCTATGGGCTGCTGATGTAGCTCAATGGTAGTATGTGTTTTGCATATGCAAGGCCCTGGGTTCAATTTTTTTCTTTTCTTTTTTTGTACCAGGGACAAATTCAGGACCTTGCACTTGCAAGGCAGGCAGCAGTACTACTGGGCTATATCTCTGGCCCATCACCTTCCACTACTGCCCACAAGCACACAAAATTTTCCTATAAAGAAGAAAATGACAAACAAGTAAAATGGACACAAAATATGAATAGAAAGTGAACAAAAAGGGAAATCTAAAAGCATATATGTAGAAAGTTGCTCATCTTTGCTAACAATCAGGGAAATGCACATTTAAATAATGGTGCTTCATCATTTCATGTCTATCAGTTGGAAAAAAATTTTAATGTAATTCATGAATTGTGTGAGGCAAGATTTTAACTTTGTTCTTCCTGTATGGAAAGCCAAATTTTTTAGCACCATATACTGAAGCCCACCCCCCCACACACTAATTTATAATAGCCCCTGCCGTACACTGCTATGTCCCTCCTAAATTCATACAACAAAACTTTCCCCCAGTGTGATGGTACTTGAAAGTGAGGCCTTTGGGAGCTAAGAGGATAGCCCTCAGGAATGGAATCGGTGCCCTTATTAAAAAGTCCTGGAGAACTGCCACGCTCCCTGCCTCCATGTGGTGACTGAGGCAGATGGCTGTCTATCAGCCAGGAAAATGACCCTCATCCAACATAGAATCTGCCAGCACCTTAGACTTTACAACATCCAGAAGAGTGAGAAATAAATTTCTGTTGTTTATCAGCCGCCTAGTCTAGTGCTCACTTCAGCAGCACATATACTATACCACCCAGACTAGTCTTCTTTTATAACAACCTGAATGGTCTAAAACACCCGTTGATGGTGTGTGTGTGTGTGTGTGTGTGTGTGTGTGTGTGTGTGTGTAAAAGCTCCCATATATTCTAAGGTCTGTAGATGGACCTTTGATTTTTTTTTTAACCCACTTCTCTATCGTTGCATCAATAACATTATTTTAATTGCTACAGCTTCATAATAATTATTTAAATAAGTCCTTTCTATTACTGTTTGTTATTCTTAGAATTTTGCACTTCCATATAAATTAGAATCAGTACATCTACCATCTTACACAAAACTTTAAAAACTCACGGATTGCATTTTTTCTTCTTTTCTTCTCCATATGCAAGATTCTTACAAGTCTTGATGCATATTTCTAAACAATGAGTTTTGAAGCAATAACGAATGGCGAATTCTATTTCTCCAGTGACTTCAGCATTGTCAAAATTACCCATTTCTGTGCAAGTGCTGTTAATGCTAATTATACTTCTCTGAAATCAAGAATGACAGATATAATGAGTTGCTTCAGTTAATAATCTTTACAGTTCTGATTTCAAGATGTCAAATAGATCATAATCCACACAGAACATGTATCTTGACTCTCACTAAGCTAATAGGCACCAGCTTGTACTCGGCGAAAGTAAGTTGCATCCCTAGAGATGGGTAATCCCCAGAAGGCCCCGTCTTGCCCAGATATGACTTTTGCCTAACAATAAAGGTTCCAAAATCCCATCCTCTAACGTGGATCCTTTGGGGTGAAGTGGACCGTCTCCTACGCAGTCCTGCAGGATGACTCTCGGTGGCAGATAGCATTCGTGGCAGGGCAGGCCAAGTGCCTGGCAGTGGGAATCACACAGACTCAAAAGTTGGCTCTGTAACCCACTGGCTGTGTCAAACTCTAACTAGGAAAAATCATCCTGGCCTGGCAGGACTAGAGCGAGGACTGAATGGAAGGAGGCATGTGAAGTGTGCAGTCACCGGTAATGATAGATTGTGCTTACATAGGTATTGGGTACCTAAAAGAAACTACAATCATAAATCAGGGCACTGCATGCTGAGATGAGAGAGATAAGGATGCCTGGACCCAAAAGAAATCAGTTATCACTATTAAATTTGCTTTAACATTGCCACCGTTTGTGAGCAACCAGTCTCAATGCTGACGTTACAAGAATAGAGAAGCCTGATTTCTGCTTCTAATTCCTAACCAGTTCTTCTACACTATAAAACACAAAGGCAGAGACTCAGAACCCCTTGAAAGAGATTTTTTAAAATCAAACTGCCAGGTGTGGTGCCACATGCCTGTAATCCTAGCACTAGGGAGGCTGAGGCAGGAGGATCGCCTTGAGTTCGAGGCCACCCTGGACTACATAGTGAGTTCAAAGCCAGAAAGATCCTGTCAAAATATCAAAATAACAATTCCTCAGAGGAACTGGACCTGATTAATCAATGCCAAGCATATACCCAGCTCCACTACACCCAGTCGCTGGATCTGAAAAATGTCATCTGCCAATGCCACATAACTACTGCATGGAAAACAACTTTAAAACTGTACATACTCAAGAATGCGTGGGATGATGGAGCAGCATGAACAAATGAGGTATAAAAAGTGAAGACAGGAAAGAATGGGTAGAGCAGCTGGTAAAAGAAGTGAGCTACTTAGGAAAACAAGGTGGATGGATGGAGGAGCTGAAAAATTCTGCGCAAAGAGCATTCATTCTTCTTAAGATTTAGGTTAATGCTGGGCGTGGTGGCGCACACCTGTAATCCCAGCACTCGGAGGCTGAGGCAGGAGGATCGCTGTGTTCGAGACCAGTCTGGGCTACTACATAGTGAGTTCCAGGTCAGTCTCAACTACGTAGTGAGATCCTGTCTCAAAGAACCAAAAAAAAAAACCACTTCGGTTATATCACACTAAGTCGTACTATGCTAACTTTTCTACCAAGAACAATTAGAAAACTGGGTGAATTAAATAGTTAAACTGCTCCAGTACATTGTAGAGCTACCAAGACAGCCAAGACATCAGGGTCCAAGAAGCTAGAGAGAAGAGAAGCACACTGAGATAAGCCTGCTGTTCTGCACTGCTTTTCCCTCTGAGGCTTTTGTGCACGTGCAAGCAGCACAGGGCTGGAAAACTAAGAATTCACTCAATGAAAAAGCTGAGAGATTCAGAAGCTGAGCACAGTTTTTAAGTGGGACGGGGTTGGGAGACAAAAATTAGCACCCAAGAGAAAGAAGGTCTGCACAACTCAAAGAGCTAAGTTCCCATAGAAGAGGAACATGGATTAGAGAGTGAAACCAGAGTTGCCTTTCCCCTCAAGGTCTTTGCTGAATTGAAAGGTTTAGCTGAGATACTAAGAAGTTTAGGAATAAATACCATCAGAAGTTCCATGATGATAGAAAAAACAGAGTTCTGGCTTACCACAGAGTAGGAGCTGGGAGAAGTCTAGACTTTCAGCAGAGACCCCTCAAATGCTTTTTTACTAGGAGCAAGAATCAATGAGATGAGACCAGTGCCCTCACAAACACTGAAGACCAACTCTGCATGAGCTCAGTCCCAGACTGGATAAAGACTATTTGTCTCCACTCTAGCTGACCTTTAAAAACTCTTTGTGAAGGAAGATAACATCTTTCTAAGTCTTAAATTATCCTAGTTTTTTAAATTTTTTTTTTTTTTTTTTTGGTACCGGGGATCAAACTCGGGTCCTTGCGCTTGCAAGGCAGGTGGCGGAACCACTGAGCTAAATCCCCAGCCCCCAGTTTTTTTTAATATGTAATGTCCGACATTCAATCAAAAATTACTAGGTATATTAAGGTTACTGGGGACTTGGCTAAGTGGTTCCGCCGCCTGCCTTGCAAGCAAAAGGACCTGAGTTCAATTCCCAGTACCAAAAAAAAAAAGAAAAGACTAAAAGGTGCTCAACTGGCCCAGTTTCCTTGGTCCTTTTATATATAATGTCCAACATTCAGTCAAAAGTTAGAAGAAAAAAAATTACTAGGTATATTAAGACTAAAAGGTGTTCAACTGGCCCAGTTTCCTCGGTCCTGAGGAATGTCCTGGGATGTAGCACTTGAAAAGCTGAAACCAGAAGAGCTTAGGGTTAGCCAAGATGGTTGGTCATACAGGAGTGACCAAAAGCATGACAAAAAAACCACAATAAAAACCCATAGCTGGTCCAGATATTGGCATTGTAAGACATGAACTTGAAAATAAGAGTGATTAATATGGTCAAGAAAATACATAACAAGGTAGAGAATTTTATCAGAGAACTGGAATCTATGGGAAAAGAACCAAATAAACATTAAACCTAAAAATTAAGGCAACAGAAATGAAAGAATTTCACAAATTAGCTTAAGATCAGGCACAGCTGAAAGGAGGACTGGTAAACCGGAAGATGGGTCAGTAGAAAATATCTAGAAAGAAACACAGAGAAAAAGATGCAAGTAAAAGTGTGACATATTGGATATAACAAAAATGTATAATGTATAGTTTCACAATGAAAAATGGGTCAAAAAGTATTTTAAGAGATAATGGCTGAGAATTTTACAAGACTGATAAGAAAAAAGAAACTACAGATTCAAGAGTAAAAGTAATTTTAAAATAAAACTACCCATAGGCATATAATAATAAAACTGCTGAGAAGACAGAGCTATTTTTGGCTTTTTGTTTGTTTGGTTGTTTTGGTTTGGTACCAGGGACCAAACTTGGGACCTTGCACTTGCAAGGCAGGCAGCAGAACCACTGAGCTAAATCCCTGGCCCTTATTTTTGTTTTTAAATAGAGTTTGAACCCAGGACTTTCACACTAAACTGCACTCCCAATCTTTTTTTTTTTTTTTTTTTTTTTTTTAACAGGCTCTCATTAATCACTAAATTGCTCAGTCAGGCTGGGCTCAAACTGGTAATCCTCTTCTCTAGGCCTCCCAGAGAACTGAGATTGCAGGTGTATAACACCACACCTGGATCTACTTTTGACAAAAGAAAGAAAAAGACTTAGCTGCCCAACAGAAACAATAGTAGCCAGGAGATTTTGGTTAAATCAAAGAATTCAGGAGAAGAATGTGAAGGCAGGAATTCAAAGTAGGAGAAAAAAACAGACCATAAAATAGGAAAAATAGAAAATAAGTCAGTAAGATAATGGACTTAACCCAAAATATAACAGGAATTACAGTGAAATACCACAGACCATATCCTACAAAAATATAAAAATTGTCTAGATTTTAAAATAGCTGACTAGGCTTCCAGGAAGATGGCAGAGTGGTGAACAGCAAAGAAATAGCCTCTCCAAGATTTGCTGTCTAGATGCTAGAATATAGCAGCATGCATAGAAGGAGGAGGGAAGTAAGGATCTGAGGCAAGAATCGAAACCCACAGGGAGAGAGAAGGGAGAGACCTCAATGAAGAAGAAAAAGGTGGCAAGTGGTGCTTTATCCTTCAGCCCTGCTCACTGCATGGGAAGAGTAGCTCAAACCTGCAGATGCACAGTGACTACTGGTGACCTCAGGGGCCTCCACAAGGAAACACACCAGTGGAATGGAGCAGTGGACACAGCAGACTGCAGTGGCTATGAGTTATTTGGGTTCAGGAGTCCTGCAGGAGAGGGCAATTGGCCAGTAGCCATCCTGGAAAGAAGCCAACTGAGCTCAGAACTTAGAGCAGCTGTGGGCTGGCACCATCTAGCAGCTCTAAGTGTCAGGATGAGGTGGAACCAAGTTCAAGTCAGCAGGACATCAAAGAGCAGGGTTCAAGCAGCAAGAGGCACAACAGACTGCTGCAGGCTGACCAAAACTGGTTCCAGCCTCACAGCTAGAAACCAGCCTGAACTTCAGTCAAATTAAAGGTGCATGTTGGCTGAGATTATTCACTACTCAATGTAAATTTATCGCTGGCTTGCTGGGATTAGTCAACAGGGATCTGGGCTCTGTTTGCCCATTCTTTCTACCAGGGACAGCAGAGAAGGCCCTGAAGTGAACATTTTTTTTTCTGCTTTTCTTTTTTTTTTCTTTTGTTTTGTTGTTTTATTGTTTTGTTTTTGTATGGGTGTGAACATTGTTTCTAGTTTCCTTCATCTTTTTCTGTTCTATTCCTGTTTCTATTTCTTTCTTCTCTTTCCCTCTTGTCTTCTTCACCAGTTTCTCAAAGTTTGCATAATCTTCCTTTGTCCTCCAACTTGGCTTCAAATCTCTTCTTCTATTTCTCTATTTTTTTTACCCTAATTCCTTTAAAATTTTTATCCCTGAAGGTAAAGTTACCATATTGAGGGTCTATTTACTATATACAATTTTCTTGTTTTAGATTGTTATATAACCACTGATATAGTATATATGGTTAAAGATGGAAAACCAGTAGTTACCACAGTTTGTCATTTTCTAGGCTTTGTTTCATGCTATTGCTATTGATGATTGTACTACTTTAGCCATAATGACATAATTGTTCTAATCAGTTGTTCTTCCTGGTATGCCAAGACTGAGATTGCCTAAGGGTCATAAACAAT